CGCCCGCCAAAATATCTAGAACTGCAAACGGCAACGCGAGGCTCTTGCGACTTTGGAATGTTTGGGAAGGCGTAAACAACACTGCAGTCTTAGACACATCGGCACAAGATACGGGAACAAAGGCTGCGCTAGTCGGTGGTATGTCGAAGTCGCCAGCGATAAACAGATTGTTCAACGGAAATTCCGGAGACGAGGCACACAACGCAGAGAAGGGCACTTCAGCACGAGCACAGTCGATAACCGCATGATTACCTATGTGGGTTTAACATCCCAAAACCACCATATGATTATGAGAGACGCCGGAGTGGAGGGCTCCGGAAATTTAGACCAACTGGGGTTCTTTAACGTGCATTCAAATCTGAGCACACGGGCCTACAACATTTCCGCCTCTACCGGAAATGCAGCCGCCGCAGCCGGGATTCGATCCCACGACATGCGGGTCAGCCGAGTACCTTAGCCACTAGACCACCGTGGCAGGGCGATAACCAAATGATTACGAGACCGAGAATCCCAGCCGAGGATCACATCATGAGAACACGCCTGTAGCACAAGAAATTCACCGGTATACAAAACATCTTGGATGAGAACGTGGGCGGTACAGGCAGCTGATGGTCAAATATGGTGAGCACTGGCAGTACGGAGGGACAATTCCTTTGGCCTCGTGGTAATCTTCCGAAGCAGGCGGCAAAGTTTTAAATCAATTACTGAAACGGCAGCACCAGTGTCCACAAGCGCAAGAGTATGGTAACCATCTACAAAAACGTCAATGAGGTTTGTCAGAGAAATTCGAGGACTTGATTCTTTCGATGACGACGCAGTTTGTCCCTCCGGAACTGCAGCATCTAGTTTTCCGCGTCTGAAGGGTAGGGTTCCACGGCGCGTAAGCGACAGGAAGCGACGTCGGGAAGATACAGATCGGTGACTGACTGAGGAAGGGCGGTTGGGTGAAGAGGATCCTTGTTGACGTGCCGTGTTGTTAAAGCGCCGAGAGTCATGCGACGATCTTTGCATGGTGTCGCTCTGAACGAGAGGGCGGCGGCGGCACAAGCAAGCCACATTTCCTGCGTAACCTCAAGAATAGGAAATCGGACGGTTGTGTGCGGTGCGCCATGGATTCGGAAACGATGCAATCGGCCGGCTGAACGGAACTGGTGATGACCGAACAGGGATCAGTGAGGTAGCATAAGTGGGCTGTCGATGTGCTCTGGCTGCAACGACTTGCGCATACGGCAAGAGTGCGGCCTCCAGAGGTGGTGAACGAGCAAAAGGCAAAGTGTCAGCTACCTCATCTTGTATGACGTGCCTTATGGCCGGGGCCAGATGATCTGGGGCCAAAGGATGCGTTTGTGCTGGCTCGGGCACGCTCATTAAAATGGAGAGCTGCCGAGCGACTTCCTCACGCGCGAACTGCTTTATGCGAGCCAACATGTCGTTCTGGTCTCCGAGAGTCAAGGCCGCGATCGAATCACGTTGTTCCAGAGAGAACCGTGTTTGGGCGAGCTGCTTGCGCAATTCGTCAAAACTCTGGCACAAGCTGACGAGTTCGGCAATGGTTTGTGGCTCCTTGGCTAACAAAATTTGAAATGCGTCATCGCATATGCCCTTGAGGATTTGTTTGATTTTGTCAAATTCAGGCATCGCTGGGTTTACCCGCTTGCGCAAGTCAACAACGTCTTCATTGTAGCTGGTAAAGGTCTCTCCTGGCTGTTGAGTACGCTCACGAAGTAGTTGTTGTGTGCGGAGTTTTCGCACAGCAGGGCGGTCGAAGACTTGCGAAAGGGAGGCCTTGAAGGAATCCCAGCTGGCAATGTCGGCTTCGTGAATGCGCAACCAGAGACTGGCGACGCCGGACAAGTAAAAGCTTACATAGGCCAGCTTAGCCGCATCGTCCCACTTGTTCGCTGCGCTCACCTTGTGGTAAGTAGCCAGCCACTCCTCAACGTCTTGACCGTCAGTGCCACTGAAGATTGGTGAATGACGCAGTGGCCACACGCCGGGACATGTAGACGCGGGAACTTGCGAGGTACATTGGGTGGAGGATTCTTCCGGCATTGCTGGTACTGCAAATAGGGTGCGACTTCGTAGTTCCAGCTTCGAAGATTACCCCGCACTTCCACCAAATTATAAGGGGGTTTATTGAATAAAACCAACTGCCTGGTTCAAGAAACGTCAGTCACTGTCACGAGCTCAGCTCTTCGTCGTAGTCGTCTTTCAGGTGCTCCAACTAGATACTGTCTCTCTCCCTCTTCCCCACTACAATATATATATATATATATATATATATATATATATATATATATATATATATATATATATATATGGGAAACAAGTGTATACTTAGGGGCTCGATTTTAGTGTTTTACACAATATTATTGAGATCTAACAAACAATAATGCCAAGGAAGTTATAGGGGAAGTTATTAGGCCAATTGTAATGTAAATAGGAAGAAAGAAAAGTGGGTGAAAACATAACTTACCGTCGGCAGGATCCGAACTTGCGACCTTCGAATAACTCGTTCAATGCTGTACCACTGAGCTACCACGACAGCCATCCTCCCAGCCACTTTATTGGGCATCTATGTCAATTTAAACGCGGGAGTCTCAGTGAGCGCCACTTGTAGCCATGGTGGCGACTGTGGTACACTCATTATGAGCCTGTTTGGCGTCACGTAGCACGTGAACTTATTCCTGTTTCTTGTTTCGTGTTTTTGGTGTTTTACACAATAATAATGAGATCTAACAGACAATAATGCCACGGAAAGTATAGGGGAAGTTATTAGGCCAATTGTAATGTAAATAAGAAGAAAGAAAAGTGGGTGAAAAGATCACTTGCCGTGGGCAGGATCCAACAGTGACAGTAGAGATTCTAAAATTTGGCTCACACCTACCCTTGTCAATAATATATATATATATATAATATATATAATATATATATATATATATATATATATATATATATATATATATATATATATATATATATATATATATATATATTATTGGCCATGGCAGGTGTGAGTCAAATTTTAGAATCTATAACTGTCACAGACACTTGTCTATTGTCACGGTGAACTGTAACGGACGCCAGTACCTTTCACTGAGCGTCATACACCTTACGTTCACACGAAATGTAGTCTAGCGTCTCTTCGCAACGGCACGCATTGCAGAGAGCGTTGTCGGCTATCTCAATACCAGAGAAGTGAGATTTAGTGAATGACACACCTAATGTACACCATAAATCAGCCTGGCATTGCTTCGCCGTGTCCAGTTGCCATGTATAGATTCCTCAAACAGCTCAACCATTGTTGAGGATTGCTTCCTTTGTTCTGAATACATGAAGGGCAGCATAGAGTAAGCCGCCTTAGAAAACTGCTTTAAGCTTCAGACCTTGCGGAAGGTATAATATTTTATGCAAACCGTCAAGAGCTGCGCGATGGGCTTTATTGGCATGTTCAATTTCTATGACGCCGCAACAACTTCGAACTCACTGAAACGAGACGGGGTGCCCTTTAGTATGTGTTTTATTAATAGATGAACTTTCAAATACGAGCTGCTCGTATGGCTGGTGATGTAGTGCTGATAGCACGGATTGTAGGGCTGTCTTGCAGTCGCTGAAAATCGACCACTGTTAAGCTGGTTCCCGAGTGACCAAAAAAAGTGCAGCGCGTAGCAGAGCTGTCGACCTCGTGGGGTGGCCAGTCCTAAAGCTGAGGGTATTAGCTATTGCTGGGACAACCATTGCACCGGACGAACACTGCATGTTTGTTGCGCCGTCGGTAGATACATTTACACTGCTCACATACTTCCCATGTAAAAGAAGCGTCGTTTTTCAGCGGGTTCACAACCACGTGAGCATGTACCAACGCAACTAGATCGCAACTCTTCTACCTAAGAGGCTGTGCAGTAATTTTGTGTACGGGCGCAATGCCACGTATATCCTCTAAACCCAGCACTGCACTTGAAGTGTTTGTATGATGTGGAAATCACTTGCCATGCATCTGTTTTGTTTAATTTCTAGTATTTGTGCACTGCTAGCGCATTCGTTGGATCCTCTTGTACCTGTGACGCGCTCTGCATATTAAAAGCTCTAAAAGGGACAATTTCATGTCACCAGTCTTCCTAAGATTCCAAAAAATACTTCTTTGAAAACCCTGTATTTGGCGCACCTCTAATCACCGATAGTCTTCGCATGGAGTACATATAGCTGTTACACTGGGTGTAGAAGCTATTACAATCTATTTTTTTGGCTATTGGAGCTGTTGAAAGCTAAAAATCATGTCGTCGTATGTAGCAGTTTCATGAATATACAGCCACAACACCATAGTATACTGCCGAGGGCATGTTTTTGTCGATAAGAACTTGATATATCTGATCACGTTGATGTCGCTAGACCAGACTTCAAATGAAGAATTTAGTACGTTTCAGAGTTCACACTCTCAAAATTACGAATTTAAATCAAACGATCGATGTTGAACGAAAGCCGCCTTTACAATTCAAGGGAGGTCGGCGGGCATCCATGCGTTGGTTTCCTTCACCTTTTTGTCGTTTTTCTGTAAGAAATAAGGATAACACCACTACCGCCTTTATATTCGCTACAAAGAAATTCGCGAAGCTTTGTGACTCCTGCAGCATTGGTGGTGATCTCTAAACTGGTCTCCTCCACTTGTTTTGTTGTTAATCTGAGAAAATAGATACCCCAATCGCCACCTCCACATTCACTGCAACAATAATTTGCAACGTCTTTAGACTCATGCAGCGCGCCACGCTTATTTTATGCGGAGACACGAATTGTTTCCTTACACTGAACCTTCCAATGGGCAACTCTGCACAACAGTGAATTGTAATGTACGCTCTAGCAACACCTGTGGCTTCATTGTGCTTATGCGCGTCCAGGGAGCTTTTCTGATGTCAGAGCCAAACGCTTGAAACGTTGAACTAAGGGAACCAGATTGTTGAAAACTCGATACATTTTTCCTTATAAACAATAGAGCTGTGGCGAGACTCCAGACAACGCACGTTACTTGTTTCACTGCAAGTAAGGCTTTCGTCAGCGCACTGCAATACGGCAGGGCAATTGTAAGTATGTATATTTTTTAGAGTATAACTGAAAAACATGGCTCATCACTCTGTTGTATTATTCGTTGTAGCACGAAAGTGGAACGTCTCTTCAGAGATGCGGTTGATTGGTTCTATGGAATTGATGTATCACTGCTTGTACAACATTTACTGGTGTCTTGCTGACACAGCATCATCTTGCGTCCATGCACCGATATTGACGCCCACGCGTACATTTCTACCCGGACATCTGAGTTCATGATCATGACTTAACCTTTGTGGTAGTTGAAAATGTTAGCACACACCTCGGCACAGCATAAGACAACTTACAAAAATGGCATAAGCAAACACGTGGTGAACACGTCGATTCATTATGTATTCCTTCAAACATCGTTACACCAAGGAGTACGCTTCCTAGTGACAGAGGAACCTGTGTTCATGCATGTATCACACCGCGCTACAGGGGCATGAGACGCAGAGATCTTCAGCTCAATCTACAAACCTCCCTTTCACGATAGCGCGAAAGTTACCCGTAGACATCATTGACTGCTTTCGATGCTCATTGCATTTCTTTATTACACGACTTCTATTTGTATGATGCGGCTTGCGCGCATAAGTTATTATTGTAGTTTCTGTTTGTATTCGTCACCACGCAATTTAATAACGTAATGGCCTTCACAAACTTTCATCAGTGAAGCCTTGACGAACCCGACGCAAAGCACTTTCATGTTCAATAATGCTTAATGCGTGGCGCTCATCCAGCGGGCGATGCCCACAGAGTCATCGCCAACAGCGGGGCTCTTCAAGTTGGCTCCACGTGGACTTCCTCTCTTTATGAGATAACCTTTACACTCTCTGTTGAAGCGGCTTCTCATGACTACAAGTTTCTCAATCAGCTTTGTACTCGCTTTCTTAGTAATCAACACTGAAGGGCAACGGCATATCATGTTTTGCCGCATAGAGAGGTTGGTGTCGCTATCGAGTGAAGAGATACAGCGCAGTAAAGACGGCTGCGAAGCTTGAGAGGCATTTCGAAGGCCACGTGCGCGTACAATGATAGGCGCAAGGCTTTCATCGAAGGTTGATTCGAGATGTGCAGTCATTGTCTGCGTGGCACCGATCATGTAACATTGGCTTGTCAGCTTCGCACTGGCAATGGAAGCAGCGGGTGATCTGTCATGACACTGGCCTTGACACTGGAGCTGTGAAGTGCGCATTTAATTCATAACACCGATGGCGATACGCTGAAGATGAAAGAGATTATACATAATATGTGAGTATTGGTGTTAAGTCGGTGTTCAACTTAGTTAAATAAATACACTTTATTTAAACCTCCCCTCTGTATAATGCCCAATATGTCCTATGACTAGTTTTTCGAACCACTGTCTTGCAGCGCTCACCTCGCCGTCGCGACTTCGTTAAGGTACTCCGCACACTCAGCGGCTCAGTTACCCTCAGTCAGGTGGTCGCCCGCCTTGGCGCTGGACTGCAAGACTACGAAATCATCGTCGTACCTGTTGCCTTGTGTGTAGCCTCCTTTTTTCATTGCGTTCCATCCTAACCAGTTGTCACTAGCGAAGCAAATGAGCTGTATGAATAGGCTTAGTGATGGCGGATGTTGTGTGTGAACAACCGACGAGGCACAACAGGCACCGCCTTGAGTGAGGCTATTGGCTGGCCTCTGATGAAAGACTGGTGCTGACATGTTCGGAACAACCGTAGGGGGCTGAATCACTTCTGAGAAGCCTCACGCGAACCTTGCTGAGACGAAAGTCCACACCTAAGAATTCCTGCATCGCGACCTCCAGCACAGAGCAATTGCTCCTGTCGCCAGCGCAGACCTGACGAGTCAACTTTGCTTGACCGGAGGCAGACAGACAATGCCAGCTCATGCTTATAATCCCCCATTTGATGATTGCCTTGTGCTTCTGAATTCACCCGCTTGCAAGTCCTATGTAATAACTCATTGTTTAACACCACAAAGAATTAGTTGTGCTGCACCAACTATACAGCCCAATGAAGGCAGCCAAACTTTAAATGCCTCTCAAGCTTCTTTGTCCTAGTAGTATTTGTAGCTTATCGTCCTAGTCACCCCAAGCACTCAATTTATTTGCGGCGGACAAGGATTTTCTACCTATGCGTTTGTCAGTGTGTGTGTGTGTGTGTGTGTGTGTGTGTGTGTGTGTGTGTGTGTGTGTGTGTGTGTGTGTGTGTGTGTGTGTGTGTGTGTGTGTGTGTGTGTGTGTGTGTGTGTGTGTGTGTGTGTGTGTGTGTGTGTGTGTGTGTGTGTGTGTGTGTGTGTGTGTGTGTGTGTGTGTGTGTGTGTGTGTGTGTGTGTGTGTGTGTGTGTGTGTGTGTGTGTGTGTGTGTGTGTGTGTGTGTGTGTGTGTGTGTGTGTGTGTAGAGATAAAATCCCACATGTCAAGAGTGGGGGAGCCTGAGGCTAAAAACGGTGTTGTTATCCGCAGTTGCTCCCTTATGTGAGCTATAAGCTTTTGTTTTTGCTGGCGCAAAGACCTGTAGCATGCAGTATGCCTACGCTAGGTGTGATTCTTTTAATATTTGTGCAGAAAACGGCCGCTGAAGGGGTCGGCTGGGCGCTAGACAAGTTCAATTTTGTTTGTACAAGTTGTACAATCTTTTTGCGAGAGGCATTGGAGAGAAGTAGTACGCATACGTTTAAGGTGGCCGTTATAAGTGGTGTAACTTAGCGAGAAAGCTGCTGAATTTAGCCTCTTCTCAGTCATACTAGCGGCATTTCAATAACATTGTAGCCTTAGCGACTTTTTGGGGTAGTTTCTAAATTTGCAATAGAGCGTTCCAAAACAGACTCAGAAAACGAGGAAATGGTGAGATGAGAACAAAGAAATTATCGGAACCGGCTTCAATAAATGAGGCCAAAGCATACAAGTTCTAGCTGCTTGTGGTGGTGCGACCTTTAGGGCGCATTCGCATTCACACTTGGGAAGTGATGCGAAAACAAAAATGCCAGAGCGGCTGCAAAAGCACGACCACGCGTGTCGAAAATGATCAGATTCGTTCTGTCTGGTGGCGCAACTGCCATCGCTACCGTTTGAACTTATTAGATTTTGCCTTATTTCTGAGCATAAATTTTGTACCGAATTCTAGTTATTCACGCGAAGCAATGAAGAGAAGCAGCTCGCTTGTTTTCAAACGCTGTTTCGGGAGATAAGCCAGCAGAAACTGCACGAGCGAGCGCTCCGGCAGCAGCGGCGGCGACTCCAGCTGGCTGTACACAAATGCGAGACACACTGGGGCATTCCGACTCGCTGCTGCTGCATCATTCAATTTCAGAGTTTTCGGCAATCGTAATCCAAAATCAGGCTCTTAGTGAACACAACCTTCTTGAGGACGTCGAGCTTCATCGTGCTGCGTGGATAGTTCGCGATTTGAGCCGATGCGAGCCACCACCGATGTCTTTGCTGCTATGTAGAATATGCGGCCGGCTGGTCATATGACGTGGTTTGGTCTAGCCGTGAAGTGGAATCCGGATTCGCTTTTGCCTAGCGGGAAAATTGGTCTCAGAGCAGTTTTCGCACGCCGGCCGCGGGACGTGGTTTTTCTATGACTTGAGCAGTGAAAAGAGCAAGCTTCCAGATAGTTTCGCCAAATTCACCCTCTTAGCGTGCTCTTAGCGTCTTATGGCCGTTCTGTGTGGCCGTTCTGTGTGGCCGTTCTGATCATACCTTCTGTTCTAGTGCCTCCAAACGGGTAATGGTTCACAGTTCACCGCAAACAGGTGGACTACAGCTGCTTACCGGGCCAAAATGGCATAGTCAGGTGGTAGCAGGGCAGTCGAACTGCATTCGCCATGTACAAAATTAATTTACAATATTGTTTAAATAAAAAATAACCTATTCGCGTGCTTATCAAATAAAAACTGAAGACTAAGGAAATATCACCGTCATAATTATTGTTTAGCGACTTTTGGCTAAAACTGGCAACTTTTCGGAAGCGTTCTGGCACCATTGGTTGAGTTGAAGCAGTATTGACCAATGTGGTCACTTTGAGCGCGGTACGAGCGTACATTCTATGAAGACAACGAAACTCTCTAGCTTTAACGGTAGAAATGTTGCGTATTGCTTCGAAAACATCGGCCTTGCAAAGAAAGCGTTTGTTCAGGCGTACAAGCAACTACAACTAATAGGACTGCGGAATTTCGCAACTCTAATGACGTGTACACTATTCTTTTAGATATTGCAAGCACTGCTTATTTATTCCCTCTTTCTTGTTCTGTGGGGGTGTATTCTATGACATCATTTGTGATGGTGCACCATTTAACCCACTGTGGTCATGAAACACCAGTGCGAAAACCGAGGGGAAACAACTAGGGACTTACAGAGAGCTGTTTGCTCGGTTACGTATAAGCTGAATCTACTGAGTGCGCAGCTGCATTAACCTCAACATAGACATCTTTTCCGCTGCGACACTGACTGAATCATTTGACACAGAGAGCGCATCGCAAAGACTTTTTGCTGTGTTCACCATTGTAGCTGCGATATATAACCGCTGAGTGAACGTCCACCAAAAAAAAAAATACTGCTACTGTTTATATGATACTCTGGCTCCTGTCACTGTCCGGACAACTTGAAAGCTGGGTAAAAATCGGTATTCTAACCCAATGAGCGAAATAGTATTGACTCACACAGATATATTTATTCAAAAAAGCGATGAACAGGGGTCACTTTACGACAAACTTGTCAATTTACGGGTTCGCCAGAATAACTTTTTAGGGGCCATTCGGCGCTGGTACGCTTTTTCCAGGTTACTGTTCACTATAAGGAAGGAAAACAGCCTCCGAGTTGCAAGCAGGATTTGACCGTATCAGTCAGCTATACTTGCATATATTCCAACTATATTTCTCCGTCCTAGTCTGCTACATCAACTACGCAGACTCGATGACTCTTTTTCTTTCCAACTTTGTTCATTGCAATGTCAGCCTACTTTTGATGACTTGGTGTTTCCATGGCTTCAATTTTTGCTATCTTGGAATTGCATTT